CTGTAAGAGAGAGAGATGAGTTGCAGGCTGGGAGCATGGAGGAGACAGCCTAGGGAAAGGGGCTGGAGTTTAGAGGCCCAGTCTCCCCCATCTCAAGGGGGCCTGAGGCATCCTAGCCCAGCTCTGGGACCAGATTCCATCTGTGCTGTATCCTGGAGAGGCAATAAACTTCCTCTATTCCACCGGCTGGTGCAGGCTGTTTGTGCCATTTCGGGGTGCAGGAGATGGGGGACCCCCAACGCGCCGTCACAGGATGGTGGCATGCTATCCATACGGATTGTGCTGGCGCAGTCGCCATTGGCCCTGCACTCCAGTCACATGCTGGTTGCTGCCAGAAATTGATTTCTAAAATATCTAAAACTCATTGGGATATTAGGATTGTGGTGGTTTAGCTCCGATACACATTTGCTTTGTCATATCAAGACAATAGTAATGGCTTTTTTATGAATATTAAATTCTTTGCTCAATAAAGCAAATGAGTTTCCTTTCATGAATAAGAGAACAAAGGCATTAATGTCCTCTGAGGTCACCCTCCTGTCTTGTCTAGGGCTGCCTCCGGGGCAGTGTCTCTGTACCGAGCATATCGAGTCATCATCAAGCCGGGAAGGCAGATCTGGGTAGGGCCATAGCAGAGCGGCCTTCTACTTCTGAAAGGGCGAAATTAAACGTCTCTTTGGTCTCACACGAGTTGGAGCTGGTGTTTAGCTAGTTCTGAGCGAACTTGGAGCCACATCACACAGATCTGCACTATTTGGTGCTACCGCTGGGAGATGCATGAACACGCTACCTACCCAAACGTACAGATCTGGGCAACCCGCCCAGTGCACTCCACTTCCTGCGGTGGCAGGAAGGGCACGACCACTGCCACCGTACGGTGCTAAGCTCCCCTAAGCGATCCCCAAAGCTGCATGCTTGGGGGACAGGATGCCATGTGGGGGAGAGGGCGGGGTGAAGGCAAGAAGGGGTGGAGCTTGAGCCCCTGCTGTAAGCTGTGCACTCGCGTGGCCACTTGGGAGAGATTGAAATGCCGCCCAGCTGATTAGCACCGCGCCCATAGCTGGGTTTTGTGTTACGATCTGTGGTTTACATGCCTGGGTGCACAGAAAAAACTGTTCTGCACAGGGATGGAAAAGTTTAGAGGGAACATTGGCCAGGAGGACGGGAAACTCTTATTTAGTCCTGACCCATCAGGCCCTATTCTGTTGCTGGAGAATGCTAGTCCTGCAGATCCACAGGCATCCGATTCTCCTGCTGCGCTTTCTTGTACAGCGAGAGTGGGGAATGCAAAGCAAGTTAAGATTCTCAGGAATCACAGGACTCCAGGTGCCGAGGTCTGAAGAAGAAAAGAGACTATAGGATAACGATGAGAATTCTGTACAATGAGGGTGGGGAACTAAGGCCAGGGGCTCGGATGCAGCTCCTGGTTTGCCAGGATCCAGGCCTTGACGCTCATGCTTTCCCCCAGCATTGAGGAGCCCACGCTGGTGCTCCAGTCCCCTCCCCACCATCCCCCTCCACCCCCAGGGTGGAACACAAAATCTGCTAGCCGGGGGACCCTAAGGCTCTGGTGTGCGAGGGAAATGTGGGGCATCCTTGTCAATTGGGGGTCTACCTCAGTGAGAGTTTCTGTCTTTGTTTTTTTGCTTCTCATTTGTGTGCGGTCGCCAAGCGATGCTTCTATGGGTCAGCAGCCCCCGGCCCACAAAAGGTTCCCCACTCTTGCTGTACAAGAAAGCGCAGCAGGAGAATCGGATGCCTGTGGATCTGCAGGACTAGCATTCTCCAGCAACAGAATAGGGCCTGATGGGTCAGGACTGCGATTACAGTTTGGGGTGTTAGGGAGGGACGGGAGAGAGAAATGGCCGGCAGCAGCAGGGATATTCAGGTGAAGCTGCAAAGGCGGAACTGGAGAGTTCCAAATGTCTTCCTGCAAGTGTGTGCTGTAGCCATAACCTCTCATTTACAAGATCACAGAAATTCATCGCATTCAACCAAAATATCCATAGGCACTGTGCACTTGTATAAATATAAAGGTAATTGATTAGGTGCTTTATGGGGTGTGCGTGTTAGTGCCCTGGCTTTATGGCCCATTAGTAGTTAGGCTCAGTTATGATTCTGCATTCTTTTGATTATGCAGATACAATCTATCATATTGTTCCAGAAACTTGGTTAAAGCTGCACTCGGCGGAGGCTGCAGCTGCAGTTTGCTCTGTCAGAGACACACATCATCGCTCCCTTTTATGAGAGAGAAAATTGGCCGTTGCTGTGCCTGCAAAAGCAGCTGTTATTTGTTGTTTTCCTTTCTAAAAACTATGATAAGGAGTTTGCCTTCCCTTCCCTCTTAACTGAATTACACCGTGTTTGTCTTCCCAGTGCTCTCACGGAAACACGCCGGCAGGCAGGCCAAGCTGCGGCTGCTTCTGCTTCGACGTCAGGAGCCCTTTTCCAGGAAGGATGGACTTGTAGTTAAGCCTCAGGATTGGGAATCAGGATGCGTGGGCTGGCTGTCTCTTCAACAAACTATGCCATCAGCAAAGCAGCGTTCATTAGGCCAAGTTTAGGGTTGCCAGGTGTCCGGTTTTCGCCTGGACAGTCCAGTATTTGTGGGCCCTGTCCAGTAAAAAAAAAAAAAAACCAACAGAAAATACTGGTATTTTCTGTTTCTCTCATACTGACAGGGACAACTTTGGTGTCCTCCCTCCCCCGCTTTTTTTTGCTCAACAATTTTGGTCCTGTTTTTGTTTTTCCTTCTCAACCAATTTTTTTCCTGCCATGTTCGACATTTTTCAAAAGTATCTGGCAACCCTAGCCATGTTAGAAAAGCCCAGGCTAGGTGTTCTGGTGGAAACTCCATAAGGAGTGGGAAGGGAAGACCCCCACCATAGAAAGAGGATAGGGATCTACCCTAAGAGCCTATAGTGAGGGCCAGGCGCATCCACACTTCCTTGGCTCTAAGGGCCCCTCAGCTTGCTCCTCCAACTCCAGGGCAGCATGGGTCAAATGGAACCCCACTGCAACATCTGGTACAGAACCTCCCTCTCTGCCTGACAGGTGTTTCCATGGCACAGAGGAAGGCTCATGGAAACCACAACCCTGCCTTAAGTTGCACGAGTTCCCCCCTTCCCTGCCTGATTTTGCAACCCTTCCCAACCCCTCCCACTCGCTTGCCATAAATCCATGTGCACTATCAGAGAGGATACTGGCCTTTGGCTGTGCGTCTATGGCAGACCTGCCTACAAAGTGGGTGTGCTATCAAAGCTGGCAATGTTCCTGACCAGCTGCCCATCTCCAGCCTGCTTCTACAACCTACTCAGAGGCATGTACAGTCTAGGGGAGGCTCTGGAAGCCAGTCTGCCCAGATGGAGGAAGTTTGGTAGTAGAGGCAGCTCTTCACCCTGCCCCTGAAGAGACACAGAGCCAAGCCGAGATGCTCAAATAAGGGGAAATATTAAATACCCCCACACGGGCTTTGGGAATATCAGAATCCAACTAATACAGGAGCTGAGCATCACAGCTTAGGCCCATTTCTCATCTACTAAGCCCCGATCGCTCTGGTGGGATGTCCCCATTGAAAACAATGGAAGTTCATGATGCCACCAGAGTCCGCTTTTGCGGAGATCATGGCAGGCTCAGAGCCCAAGTCACAGTCTAGTCTCTAGGCCGGGACGGGAGAAACCAGCATGGTTGACTGGAGAGGAGCATCCTGAAGTTTTCGGTGGGAGATCTGGGCGAGTTTTCAGATACCGCTCCAAAGCTCACCATAAAAGACAACTTTCTCCCTCCATCACATAGAAGGAATCAATCACAACAAGCACAATTTGTGACTCCCTGCCAATAGCTATTCACAGGTTTCCACAAAGTCAACATTCATCTGAAAGCCAAAAAAGCACCTGACTTTCCCCTTTATATCCTGCCACTCACCCTTTCATGTGCGGGAAGACACAGATTAAACACCTCATCTTTCCACACAAACAGTAATATCCCAGGGTAAGAACTTGCTCCACTTTCCAAGTTCAAACACAAAACAAAACACAGCAGCTGTCAAAAAGGCAATGCCATTTTTTACTCTTGAACAAGACTTAAAAAAATATCAACCTTATCTATTTTGTTAAAGCAACTGTTTGCATTAAAATGATTCCCCCTTCAGAAACACTGTAGCTATATTTTTTTCATGTAACGCACATTCTTATGGGGAAAAAACCCTCAATTTATTTTTAAAGGGATCTTAAAATATTTTAAAGACACAACCTTTTTATTTCAATGCAGTTTTTCCAATCTTCCTCCCCAAATGCCATCCCTGCTGATTAAGTGGATTTTATCCACAACAGCACATGACCTAATACAGTTGTTAGTCTCTAAGGTGCCACAGGACTGCTAATTGTTTTTAACCTTATAGACTAACATGGCTTCCCCCTCTGAGCCTGCCCTCCTCAAATGGGAGGCTAGGGTCTCAACATTGCAAATGTAACTTGTCTGCCAATCTGCATTACACATATGCCCCCAAACTGTTCCAAAAAGGACTAGGGCTATTCTAGCACTAGTAACAGGGTACAAGTTATTTAGCGCAGGCTGTTAAGGCTCACTGAAGTTCTCGGTATCAGTCCCTTGGTGCATCAGCAAAAACGTAGGCCATCACACCAAGATTTCTGCATGCCTCACTGTGCAAACAAGAAGCCCCACTGAATTCAAGAAATATTATACATGAGTAAGCACATAGGCAAGATCAGAGCCTGGTCCCAATCCTGCAATCAGATCTACAATATGCTACACAAGCACTTAAGGTTTGTTGAACCCTTGCCCATGCGAATGGCAATTAATGGGGGTGTTTTCTTTCTGACGCAGGGCTTTTCATTAACAAAAAGCATCCCATTAAATGGACAAACACATCGAGCTGAGAAGCCCAAACGTCATTTTGGTCATTTTTTAAGACCGGTGTCGCAATTACTTAAATGCACTAGAAAACAAGAGCACAAAAAGAAACATTAAAAGAAAAGACTTACTCTTTGTTGCCAGCTGGCTCCAAATCAGGACGCAGCCAACAGTGATGATAGGGGCTGATCGTGTCTGCACAGAGCAAAGGGGCAGGCAGGCCGGCCCTGCCTGTGTTGGAGAGAATTCTGTTCAATGCCCTAGCAGAGATCTCACTCTGCTTAGTTTGGGGTCTCTGTAAGCCTCCTTTCAGTCCCTTGGATATCCTGCACTCCCCACACCTTATCACATTCCCTTTAGTATCCTAGGGGAGCTCTAACTCTCCCTCTGCTCCAACTCAGCTCCCACCCCTTCTACTTCTAACCAGTTATATCTGTGGCTTGTTCTTGGAACTACTTCCTCTGTGGTTAAATCCTCTGGCCCCCGTCAAAATTTGCTCTAATTTTTTCCATCCATGTGCAGAATAAATTGTATGTGCACTGAGGCATGTGCGGCTGTGCACCACCATTAGCGATACCTGCTGCCGGCTGTGGGTGCTAATCAGCTGGGTAGCACTTGAAAATCCACTGGCCATCTATGCTCTTGGCACTGGCCTCCCCAAATCTACTCTACTGTCTTGAAGCTCCTAGGGTCAGAGCCCCACCATTCCTCTTCCATCACACTCTAGTGCAAGTCTTAGCCCCCTTAGCCACTGGGTGTGGCTTGGTGGAGACGTGCTATGGCTCATGAATCGCTAATCTTGGCAGGCATGGAACTGTTGCAACCATTGGCAACCCAGCCTCCACAAAGAGTGAAACCAAAAGCTGGGGGCCTGTGGTATTCTGCCTTTTCAGGCTGACAAACCAGGCTGGGAAGCAAAGAAGAATGGAGCATCCCTCATGAGTTTTCTGGTGTTCCCAGTCAGCCAGAACAAGCCGCCCTGCAGTGCTTTGACTCTTCAGCTTTTGAGCAGAACCCACAGGAATCTGAAAATGCAAAGCAGGGATCAAAATTAACAGTTACTCTGAACCTAGAAATCATACATTTTGATAGCGGAGATTCAGGGAACAAAGCCTCTTAGCTTACCTTAATCCCAGACAGGTTTGGTACCTGCAGGGCAATAGAAGGGATGTAGGGAGGGCCGTCCAAAGGGGCAGGGGAAGGCACATGGGGGGCACCCCATCTAGCAATTCAAATGTTAGCAGGGATGTAGGGGGGCAGTACACCTCTCTCAAGTGCTGCCATGACTCCCCTGTGACCCAAAGGCCCTTCTGATACACCCCAAGAATTTGCAGTCTCTGCTCTAGAGAGGCCCAGAACGGGAAGACAGTAGTAAGAGTTCTGTGTGGAAAAGGAGAAGAAAAACCTGTGAACACAGAGTAGCCAGTTGGCCCCGGGTCTGCAGCTGTAACCAATTACCCTGCAATTACTGATTTGCTGCAGAATGAATCTAGCCTGCTTGTGCCCAAAGCCCAGGGCAAATTAGAAGGTTTCTCACTGTGAGAGAGTACACACAATAAAAATGAACCCCAGTGAAGCTGTCTGCAGCCACAGCCAGCAAAGGCTTTGTTGTCTCAGGAAGCCCTTACTCAACACTCCATAGTCTGAGAGCCTGAAGATCTTCTCACGCAGCTTCTCCTGCCTGCTTAACAAATTGGCCTCATCTGATGCCAGATCCATTAGCAACCTGTTGTGGAATGTCTCTGCAATTCTGTCTGAACTCAGGGTG